ATGCCAAAACTGATTCTGATCCTCCACTGAGACTGATGTCAACGATACCGCAGCATGATATGGATAGTGACAAGACAAGTGACATGAAGCCCGTACATGTGACAGAGAATCGAAACATATTCCAATCAGTCAAATCAAAATGTAAATTCTGAAGCCACTTCTTCTGGCATTGCTGTCATGACTTTCCTGATTACAGCTGCAGGAATTAGCAAGACAGAAGTGATCTGTATTTCTTGTATAAACTCAATGTATTGGACTAATGATAAATGTTTTAGAATTGCCATAATGTTTTTCTTGAGGTTGATGTGGTTAAATCATCCATTACAAATAAAAAAGCCCTCAGGGTGTTTGGTAAGTAATGTGATGATAAGTTTTGGACTTTTTCAGCAGGTTGCAAACTGCACTAATGACAGTCTGTTGTCTCGATGCCAATATTTCATCTGTAAATATTCCACTGACCAGTGTCTGATAGCAATGGTTCAAAGAGTAAAAACAGAAATAAGACAATGACCTGAAGTTCAGTCAGGAAACTCTATCTGACACAAACTGATAGATCCTTGACATGTAATCTGCAAGTAATGGTGCGGGCCATGGCCACTCATATCTGGTGCCAATGAGCTTGCAAACTCTACATTTAAACAGTGTGCTTCAGTGCTGACTGAAAGCCAGCCGTGAAGCAGGTTATCACTCTTCCTCTGACACCCTCCTCCTCCCCCAGCACCACCTGTCTAAGTCTGCCACAGTGGATATGATGTATGTCTAATGCAGCAGCAGCAACAACAGTGTGTGTAGTACATAACACTGTCATATCCATTAACATGCTAAAACTACTCCGAAAGTTGTCATGACTGAATTATTGTCAGTTCTAGATTAGATGTTACACCTATGTATGTCACCTGCCTGAGGATTTAATGAGTATGTTTCAGAAAATATAAGTGGGGTACAACAGGGCTAAATGCAGACATTAAAGAAGTGGGCAGTAAAATGCCTCTAGTAGATTAAAATTCTTTATACCATGGTCTGAATACCTGATTTTGATTTCAAGAAAGTGCTGTGTTGGTTTTTTGTGTCATCTAGTTGTTTATTAAAATCAAATGCACCTTGAGTCCTGTTGTACCCTAGTAAGGCAGGTGTGTGTGCTCTCATTCACCTATGAAGATGAGCAAAATCCCCACTAACACTTGCAGACAGAGCGACAGACTGATGAGCGTGATCAAGGAGGTGTACAGGGTGAATTTGTGCCCCTGCTCCAGCACGGCCTTCAGCTGTGACGCGTTAGCCATTAGCAGAGCCACGTCCAGCATGCTCTCCGCCACACTCTTCTTATTGGCATAGTGGTTCATGTTTAGAGGGGCACGTGACAGGCCAAGACTGTGAGAAACCTGACGAGAAAAGCATGGAGAGAGGACCATTATCATGCTAAAGCCTCATCAGTAATATTAGGACACACTAGTACTGTACCAACTACTGCACGACAGATCTTTGCGCTGACTATTTTTCATTCACAGAAGCCTCTCCCTTGAGCCTGCTTTGCTTGTTTTTCCTGCCTTTAAACTGAATATAGTGTGAGGGAATTAGATTATAGTGCTTTTGTACGGAGTCTCTTAGTCATGTGGATAGTCATACTTGTTTTGGTGAAAAATAACTTTTACAAATTAATTTGTTTATTGATTTTAATGATGCAAAGGAACAAGGAACTCTGTAATTCTCATGTGTCTCAAAGGCAGTTGCTCTGCTGCCACAGGAGTGATCGGAAATCTGTGAAATCTGAATGAATCATTTTGGTGAAAGATTTCAAAAGATTTGTGTCATTTGAGTTTTGGGATGAATCAATATTCTCACCACAAGAACTGTTGTTTATCATGCAAACAGGGTTTGAATATCAGCCCAACTAACAGTGCACATGTTCACGGGCAGTAGAGGATGAGCTAATGCCTTGATTTATAATGAACTGTAAAGCCCTTATTGAGCACACTGAATTTACAGAATAAATGGTATGGGAATCTTGGCACCAATGTGTGATTTATCTAGAACTTTATTAAGTCTCATAATCTGACTGAAGAATTTCTGGTGTTGAAGTAGCATGAAGAATAATAGAGCGAGAGAGAGAGCTGATTCTGGCACTTCTCCTGGCCTAACAGACTGAGGACTCAATCACTGCACTTTCTTGACTAGTACACTCAGAGCCCTAAGCTCCACCAGCTCCAAGGATTTTCCCTCATCTAAAGTGATATTATATCTCATAGTTAATATCATAACGCCAGGACACTGTTGTAATGACTTTGATTACTTAATTTTAACTGTAGGGAATTAATTATTATTAATTCATTCAGGTTTATTCGACCTGCAAAATAACATCATCAGAATGCTGACAGAAAAAATTAACGAAAGAGCTGACGGTTTGGAAAAAATCATTAAAAAGAACTCTGACGGGATTGAAATGCTGAGCTGAATTCTGTATTAAAACTTAATATAAATGGGGAGGTGTCTGAAGATTATGTTAAAATTTCTAATCATATATCAACCTTTTATCAGACGTTATATAGTAAAGAAGATGATGGCAATACAAGACTTTTTTTTTTAGAAAGCATTAAAGCAAATGCTAAATGTATAGATCAGGATAGTATGATGTCGTGCAACAAAGATATTTCTATAGAAGAAGTTAGATTTGGGATCAGTAAATTAAAAGACAATAAATCTCCCGGTAAATTATTATTTATTTTTTATTTTTTACCTGTATTATTATTTATATAATACTGTATATTTTCTATTTCTTTTTTGTAGTTTATATTTGTTCAGTACCTTTATATTATATGCTGGAAATAAAAACAAAACAAACAACAAAAAAAAAACATGTAAAACGGGAACATGAAAGGAATATTATAAAATCAACTCATGTTAACACCATAATCATAATATTGGCTTATTTAGAATAAGGTAAATAATTAGATTACTGATGTCCTGATTACTGATGATATATACTGTATATATAAAAGTTTTTTGTTTTTTAGCAAATTCTCATTTTTGGGTAAACTATTTCTTTAAATTGTGCATTTCATTCTGTCCTTCTTCCTTCCATCCTCCCTATCAGTATTCCTCTGCTGACTGTGCAATCATAATGACAAGACACCACTCTTCACACTCTCTCATGCTGTTGATCTCAGGATGGCTGCGCTCCAGCAGTTGATCGATCCACCATAGGCAAATTACATTTCCCTGATTCTCTACAGAGCTTTTAGTCACACACACACACACACACACACACACACATCACGCTGGTGTTGTATTGACTCTGCCCACAGACAGACAGCAGTTAACCTCACCAATCACTCATCATAATAGCTGGAAAGATTCAGTTTGATCCAGTAGAGCCACACTCACAAACACACACATTACATAAGAGACAGTGACAGCTCAGATGACATGAAATAGCATTTCATAAACGAACTCCACTTCCTCCTCGTGTTTATAACTCTTCTAAAGTTTTGATCCTGGCCTTCATGAATCTTTGTATATGGGGATATTATCATACCGGAATATATGAATATCATAAGAGAAATTCTTTGGGAACTGGGACACAGTTTTCTTACTAAATTTTGGTTCTGTCATTTGTTGGTCTATCTGTTTCTGGTCTCAGTTGCTCTGCCAGTCTATGAGACGTTTTTGCCCATTTTATCACTCAAGGAGAGCAATAGCACACAATGGACAGCCTATAAAACAGCAGTGTTTAGTCAAAGCAGTCAGTGGCAGACGGACAGACCTGAAAGAGCACTTGTGTTCAGCTAACAGCTCTAGAAATACCGTAACAACCATGACAGACTTAGATTCTGTTGTCATTTTCACGCTAGCAGGTTTAGCGTCTGTCTGTGTGACCCACCTGCAGTCCAGTGCCTGTGTTTAATTCAGCAGTGTCTGTGTCTGCCACCATCGGTGACACCGTGCTGTTCTCCTGCGGTTCAGTGTCGTCACTTAGACCTCAGACAGCAGCAACATTTCTGAGCAGATGCAGCGACTGATGGCAAGAGTTCCTGTTATTTGGGTTGGTACTGTATGTGATCTATCAGCTGATGTGAAGTGGTGAGGTCTTGTTTACACTCATCCAGTATTTACGTCCTTGCTCACTCATGTATTCACTGTCTGAACTATTTGAGCTCTAGGCGGTCGCCTAGGGCGCCACCAGCTGAAGGGGCTCCAATGAGCGCACGTACTGGCACTTTTAGCAGGGTTGTGATAAAGAGTGGCACGGTCACCCTGAAATAATTAGTGTCGTTACTATAACAACCAATTTGAAGCAACTGGGGGGGGTGCCAAGGTATATAGAAGCTTGTTTCTGCCACTTGATAAAAAATTATAATAATTAAAAATAATAATAATAATAATGAAAAAGGTAACTGTGACTTTTTATCTCACAATTCTGACTTTTATAATAAAAAACTCAGAACTGCGAGATATAAATGCAGAATTGTGAGATATGAACTTGTAATTCTAAGAAAAAAGTGAGATATAAACTCACAATTGTGAGAAATAAAGTCAGAATTGTGAGATAAAAAATTGCAATGACCTTTTCTATTTTTTTCTTTGTGGCGAAAAAAGCAGAATTGTGAGATGTAAATTCTGGATTGGGAGAAAATAAGTCAGAATTCTGAGATGAATGAGAAGAAAAGTCAGAATTGTGAGATAAAATCGCAACTAACATTTTATTTTGTTTTTTATTTCGTGGCAGAAACAGACTTCTATACACAGTGTGTTGTAAGAATCATTTAACCTTTATCTCATACCCAAATCTCAGATAGTCATCTTTTATGAATGGTTAAAACACTGGTGTCCGGGACACCGAGAACCCTTTCGAGATAGAAATGGAAACGAGTAGAGGCTTGCACCCAGAAACAGAATTCCTTGTGTCATGATTTAACATGTGGACAGCTTTGTGTGACAAACAGGGTCTACTTGAACTAATGCGCATCAGTTGAACGCGTATGAACTACTTTTTAAGAGCCGTTTCCTCTTCACTGCATGCTGTTGCTGTATGGAAAAGAGCTGCTTGGAAATCCTGCAAAATATCGATGTCATGCAATGTGAAAGGTGCGGAGCTGTCGCTGATGCCTGCTGTGATGGGGAGGAGGCAGAGGAATGTCTGATTGCGCGCGAGGGGCGTGGAGGAGCAGAGCCACTAAAGCAGGATTCAGCAGTCATTTTCAAACGGAGAAATTTCCAGGCATGGCGAGGTGAGACGCGAGTGCGACAATAGCGTGCGTTTAAAGCCCGACTGCCGCGGCTGGCCTTCGAGACGATACTCCTGCAAGTGCGCAAAGCAAGCGTCGCGGGTGGTAAGCTCAGCTCAGCTCGTCGTTAAACCGCCGCTGCGCACTGATCATCTTCCATCATCCGAGCCAGTGCGACACTCGAGGTTTCAGCTGCATCAGACACCCAGCAGCAGCAGCACATGTGAGTTCTCATCATCGCTGCTTTATGCTCGGTGCACATGATGGAGGGAGGATGTGAGCGCTGAATATGTGCCGCACCTGCAGTCGCTCGCGCTCATCATCTTCATCATCCTTTCAAGCGGTCATTCGTGTGCAAGCCGCTCGCTTGTAGCCTCTTATTGGGTAGATGTTGCAGGCTTAAACGAGGGATTGTGAAGCATTTAACGATGTTGACTTTGCCGCAATATTCAGCAACTTTCAAAAATATTCCAAATAAAAACAAGCGTCTTTATAAACATTTAACTGTTTTGATTAAGCCTTCGTCGATTTACATTAGCACTGAGAGGCCAAACTCTTAAAGTGACATTTGCCCATGCAGTAAATATGTATCATAGCTCCACATTTAAAGGGGTCATATGATGTTGCTAAAAAGAACATTATTTTGTGTATTTGGTGTAATGAAATGTGTTTATGCGGTTTAAGGTAAAAAAAACACATTATTTTCCACATACTGTACATTCCCTGACATGGCTGCATCAACACTACTGCTGTTTCTGAAACCACGCCTTCTTTCTTTGCGTGCACGTTTGGGCGGCATTATGCTAATATTTCCACATAGTGACGTAGACATGGGGGGCGTGTTAGAACGAGCCGTTTTAGGTAGGTGTGGCTGACTCTTAAATTTTATAAAGAATATCTCTTTGGATTTGAGACTTTAGTCTTTGCAACTTTACAGATCTTCTTTATGCACCAAGAGCTTGTAACACTCCAAAGAGAAAGGAACAATTGAAATCGCATCATATGACCCCTTTAAAAATGGCACGGAATCCTTTTTCCGGTCATTTCTGGTTTGTTTGTTTGTTTAAAATCTTGTTTTATTGCACTTTTGCAAAAAGGGGTAACGTTAACTATTAGGGATGTAACGATTAACCGCGAGCCGGTTGAAAATCGATTCAAATATGTGACGATTCAAATCGGTTGAGATGCTAAACAAATCACGATTCAATTAGGGATATGAGTTTATATTAATGCCTGTCTGAGGGGAGCTTACTGTCTTTAGAAAAGTTTAGATGGTATTTTTTCTAATAAAAGGACACATTTAATTTAGAATTTGTCTTAAATCTCATTTTGTAAAAAAAAACAAAACAAAAAAACCGTGAATCGAATCGAATCGTGAGTTGAGTGAATCGTTACATCCCTATTAACTATGTATTTACGTATGAAAAAATGATATTATTATTTATGTATGAAAATTTTGGAACATTTTGACAATGACCTACTTGATTGAGCGTTAAAAGATGTGCCATGTTATGTGCGTTCTTCAAATACATGCATATTTAATGATGACACCTAATTTGCATACAAGTTTAAAGTTCAAATGGTTCATCAATAATAAATGTAGAAACTTTTAGTTTATATTAAATATCGCCTCTTTACCATTAGTAATTTTAACAGTATTATTTTCCCTGGCATTTTATGTTTTTGTTTAGTTTTTTTTTTAGAAAAGTGCAGAAAACATGTTAACTTACTTGCACACTTTTTTAAACGTTCAGCTCACCCAAACCCAGATTAATTATTGTCTTCAGTGAAACAAAAGGACATTTGCTCCAGTGTCAAATAATAAAAAAAGACACCTTTGTGCATGTGCTGCTTTCTGTTGGCAAATGTGGCAGCTCACTCCATGCATACAGAAATTTTGCATATTGTGCAGAAATATTAAGATCTATTAGCAGTTATGGTGAACCTAAAACTGAATATGATTCTTGAGTGCCGTTGTGATGAATATGTTGTGTTCCCACAGATGAGCGGGGCCGTGTATCGCTGATGTTTGGGAAAATGTGTCAGTGCTGCCGCTCCCCTGCGGTTCAATACTGAGCTGCGCCAGCATATACTGAACCTGTGACTGATTTAAACCATGGAGCCCAAACCTGACTGCTGCCCTTCATCCGTGCCCAACTCTCAGTGTGAACTGCAGCTCAACATCTACGAGACCATCAGCGAGGGGAATGTGAATAAACTGGAGAGCTCAGTGCTGGTGCGCGCCGGCAGCGACCCCAGCTCCTACCCGTCATCCAAACGCCAGAGGTTCATCCGCAGGAGCCTGTGGTTCACCGATAATGACGAGCACCAGGCGGACGATTGCAACCCGGAGTGCGAGGAGCAGAATAAGATGCTCAGCATCAACCTGCTGACCATTGTGGACCGATCTCTGGCCGTCCGATCCAGTTTACCAGAAGGATTGAGCACGGAGAGCCAGACGGCTCAGAAAGAGCTGGAGAGCGGCAGCGCAGACGCGGAGAAGGAGAGAACCGACCTCAAAACAGACGCGACGGATGGCGTCAAGACTAACATAAAGGCGGCCAGCGAGGAGAACGAGGAGGAGGCTGAGATGAAGGCCGTGGCCACCTCTCCCGGCGGACGCTTTCTCAAGTTTGACATCGAGATCGGCCGCGGCTCCTTCAAGACGGTCTACAAGGGCCTGGACACGGACACCTGGGTGGAGGTGGCCTGGTGTGAACTTCAGGTGTGTTTCCACACGTGTTCTCATGGTTCAGTGTGTACGTGAACAGTGATGGTCTTTTACTGCTGAACAGACCAGTTTAAGGTGGTTTCAAGCTGGTCTCCCAGCCTGAGCAAGGTGGTTTTCAGAAGGTTTAGATTGTCCCCTGTTGACTGAGCTTTGATGCTGTTTTCATATGTCCTGCATACCTTGCTATGTACATGGTATTTTTGGAGTACCGTGGTACTGTCACTCTACATGTCCCAAAACCATGGTAGTAACATGGCACATTTAGGCTGGTCTAGTCTTGGCTCTTCATTGTCTGTGGCTGTTTGTTTTCACCGGCTCTATTGGTGTTTCAGGCTGTGCACTCGTGGTTTAGTGTTTCGTTTAGGTCCCTCTTTAATGGGGTGTCGTTAGTCATACAGATTGTTGTTCATTGAATCAAGTCACAAATGAAGAAATGACTGCCATTATGAAGATCTATTGTATAAGAGTGGTCCGATCATGAAGCTTGAGTCACTTTGTGACATTTTGAAATATATGCAGATTAGGAATCTGATTGTAGCAGCACGAGTGAATGTCAACAGCAGGAACTGTGAGATCATCTGTAATCTTTGCAGGCACGCAATGTTCCAGATCTTCCAAAGTTTGAAAAAGTTGATCTAGGAGCTTTTTTAATACTGGTTTTCCATAGTTGTTAGCGTCATATAATCGATGTAGGGCTTGTATGTAATACCTGCACATGTTTTCACTTTGAAGTCCTACAGTAATTCTTCATGTATGGAAATATTCAATAAGTCTTTATGAACAAACTGAAACCACAAATGCAAAAATCTCAGTGGCCTGGGAAACATGGAATCTGTTTCAAAATGTTTATGTATGTCTTTACTACAAATTAAATAGCAAAGTGGCATGTCATGGGCGCGGGTTGGTTGCTTTTGGCTGTGGTTTATTTTGGTTTTTGATCATTCTAACAATGACTCATATAATGCTTCTACTCGTGTCTGAAGGGACGTAGCATCACGCACATCATTAACCCATGCTCTATTAACCTGGGTTATGTCAGTCTTTAGCCTGGGTTAGTAGTCCTGGCTGCAAGCACTTACTAGAAATAATTACTGAAAGTAACAACTAGAGAGAGTAAAAAGACTACTCAGTGAAAAGTTCTCTTAAGTAGCGAGTTACAAGCAAAATAACGATGGTGAAGTCAATGAAGGGATTTATGTGTTTGAGTATGAGAGATGTTTTAATTGTGAGAGATGGTGTCCTAAATCTCAATGTATTTTTTTTAAGTGAACAAATTAAAATGCCATCTGTCAGAAGATAAGCAGCAGTATATGGTACTACTTGATGATTGATTGCCACATTAATTCATGTCCAGTGATTCATCTTTGATTTAAATTAAGGCATATGCCCAAAACTGCACACACAGCTGTTAAACGATAAATGTGTTTTCAGGCTTGGTTTCAGTTGATTATACATACATACACATATCCACCTCAACCAGTGCTTCATTCCTGCTACTTTTTTTGTGGAAAAAAAGGTTTCAGACAATTCAGTGCATGAGTGAACTGAACAAATCATTCAGACCGAATACGTTTAATGATGAAATGTTCAATGGCAAATTTAGGGTGTAAAAGACCACAAACCAGTTGTATATTCTTCTTCTTCTTCCTTATGTTGCTTCAAATGAGTTCCTCTATTTGAACTCAAATCAATAATTAGCCGTGGCTTTTTTATAGTAAGGAATTCATTATTCATCGTCATTCATTGCCCATGCAGTTCAGGTTTGTACTTGATCAGTCAATTTACACAAAAATAAAAAAGTTTAGTTTTAGAAACACATTTTGTCTGATAGGAAAATGTAATTTTTCATAAAGTTTTTATTCTTGTTTTAACAGTAATAGCTGGATTAGATACAACAGACAGCGATAAATTCATATAATATGTGAAATGATGGCATGCAGTGGTTTGTTGATCATTTTCAGCTGAGTGCAACTGATGCATTCAAGACAATCACAGATCTCTCATGTTATTTTGACAAAACCTTGTTTTGTATGTTAGCCAGCTCAAAATATCTATGCATCTTTAAATCAGGCAGCATAGTTTTTGTAACAAAGACGTTTGATACAGAAAAGCAAATGTTTAAGGCTTAAAATCACATGTACACTATTAAGAAATGTAAGCCACAGTGAGACTGTAGCAGTGGTGACAGAAACTCTCTGTAAAGACGTTCAGATGACTTTCAGAGTTATTCAGATGCATTTGAAAGTTTAGGCCTGACTTAAGTCAGCAGCAGTTTAGTGTGAGTTTGTCAGTGTTGTGCTCAGCGCTCTCTCGATAAGCATCTCTAGCTGCAGGAATGTGGCGTTGCTGATGATGATCCACAGGAACACACACTGGAGTCATGTCCAGGTTTGTCTGCTCATGTGTTTGGGGTAAATATGCAAAACACTGCAAACTAAGTCAGTACTGTTGTTCATTTCGCTCAGCAGGTCTTTAGAGGTTGAGCATGAAATGGACTATGGGGGCAGAGTAGGGAGTCGGACTTGTAACCGAAAGGTCTCGGGTTTGAGATCTTATATATGAGATCTTTTAAAGAGGTTTTGCTAGAGACAGATTGTTGATAATGTTATTGACAATGACATGTCAAGTATTTTGGCACGGATGTCCACCCGTCCTCCTCTATCACGCTCTCAGTCTGGATACAGAGCTCAACAGTGACGGCACGCTATTTCAGCAGCATTGGCCATTCATTTTCTACATAGGACCTTCAGAGCATAAACAGTTGAGCATGTATGGTTGCTCTCCTGAAGCAACACACACACACAGGTTGCAACAAAGAATCCTTAGATCCTTCACTAGCAACACAAGGTTGCATGCATTCCCAGGGAATGCATGAACTGATCTCAGAAATCAAATGCATTCATAGAATGCAGTGTAAGTCGCTTTGGATAAAAGCAGCTGTTAAACACTTAGGCTAAATATCTAAATTCATAAACCGTTGTAAGCCTTGGAGCAATATTACATGTAAGGGATAATACACGGCTAGCTGTGCATTAAATGATTCTAATGCTTGACATGGAGGCAAAGAACCACCCGACGCAAAGCAGAGGCTCCTGAATGTTTCTGTGTGTGCGCAGTGTGGTCTCTGATCTCTCTGTATGTGTGTGTGTGTCAATGAAAGCAGTGCATTAATACAGAACGGTGATTAAACTGACTTGAAATTACCTGTGCATTTAATGCACACCTGCCAGCCAATCAGAATCGAGTGTTCAGACAGACCATGGAGTAAGTTGACATTATTAGATAACATAGCCTACACAACCCTACTGCTGAGCTGTGTTACACATTCAGTCTGTCTCTGTTCAGGATTTGGCTCTGTGTGTGTGTGTGTGTGTGTGTGTGTAATTAAAGTTCCTCTGCATAGATCTCAGTGTTTGTGGTGTGTACTCGTGTGGGATGCCAAAAAGCGTTTTATGGAGTGGATTGTGGAGTCCTGCTCCAGTCAAATCTGTTAATGGTCCTCTGGCGTCCTGCCTGACAGATGAAGCCACATCAGGTGAATTTGTGCTGTGTCAACAACACCACACTCTCACAAAACCTGTCGCCAGCTGAGATACGGATACGAACAGTGGACTGTATCAGTCACTCTTGAATAAATTGTTGCACTGAATTAAATTTGACAAGTTATGCAAAGATGGATTTACAAATCAGTTTGTGTTTCAGAAGAGTGGCTTAATATTTGGGTATGTTCTGTATACTGATGCCCACTGTTTTTTTTCCTGTTTTTTTTCTTTTTTAAATAGTAAGTGAAACCGCATGCAACAAAAAATATCATTGTCACATGACCTCATCATATTGCATGTGAGCTTATGATCTGCTGGTGCTGGTTTATAGTGGGATCTTAGTAAGAGGATGCCAGATGTTCAGATCACTTTTACTTGTTTCATGCTCAGCAGACATTTCATCCTAAGTGCTGTACGGTTCCCAGATTGTTAATGAGGCTCTAGTTGAAGTGATATTCTGCAGCTCATGGCTCACACTTGTCAGCCTTTAATTAGCATGTCACGTGTCCAGGTCTTTAACTGCTCTCACACGGGTGCTGTCTGTTTGGTGCACAAAACAACATATTTCATATCGACTAGTCAAGATCATTGACTGAGCAGTCTGTTTATCTTAAGGATCTTTACGATCATGTCCACCAGACCACAAGTTAGGAAGTGAAATTTATTCTGCAAATCAGTTCTTTTGAAATGTAGAGTTCAATGAATCAACAGTTCATCACTCAAAAATGTGAAAAAAAAAACAAACGTCAGAAACAGCGCTGTCACTGCCTTCCGCCATTTCGTCTCGTGAAAAAAAACCCAACAACAACACTGCATGCTGCTTCTGCGTCAGACTGATGCTGGCTGGACAGGATTTACCGCGAGTTTTCAAAAGCGCGATAATCAAATACGGTTTTGATGATAATTAAATTTTAAACGATAATACTAACCATCAGGGCATTTTATCGTGATTTATCGTGAAACCGGTAATCGTTCCATCCCTAAAATGTGTCTTAGCAGTGTGTGAGCACAACTAACCTACAATGATAAAAATCCATTCACTACTTTTTTATAATCCCCTAAAATCCTGAACAGTCTCAATTATCAAGCTGTTTTGATTTTCTGAGCGGTATGACGCCACATTGCTCAAGCCCCGCCCACGATCGCTGACAGACTGTCCTGTATTAGCATATCTCCGCCCTCAGCCTGTTGTACACTGTACGCTATTTTCTCCGCTCTCGAGCAGCTGCAGCGACAGCAATGACTCATAAGCAATGCAGGTGTTTTGTTGCTGGATCTAAAAGTGAACATAAGAGTCATTTTCTCCCGACATCAGAGCCACTGAGGACGCAGTGCATTAGTTTTGTGTTTGATGGTAACGCACCACCAAATACACCTAAATTCATTTATGTCTGGTCAAATCATTTTACTCCAGACTGCTTTCTGAACGAGGGGCAATTCAAGGCAGGTTTC